GTTAAGTTAAGTTAAGTAAGTAAGTAAGTAAGTAAGTAAGTAAGTAAGTATATATATATATATATATATATATATATATATATATATATATATATATATATATATATATATATATATATATATATATATATATATATATATATATATATATATATATATATATATATATATATATATATACATACGAAATAAATAACAACAAAATCTCCACATTAAATCAAATGATTTAATTTTTTCTGACTATAATTTTTATTACTCAATTTTGGGAGAACTTAAACAAAGGCGTTTTAAGTTATCACCAGAAATTCCCAGATGATTCTTGTGCCTCCCATCTTCGGGATTTTCAACATAAAATTGCCAGAATTGTTCTTTCCACTATTTCGGTTCACCTAGGATGTGACATCCTTTGGCTTTTCGTCTTCAAAACTGTTTTTATCCCTGCTATTTTTCACAAATCAATAGACGCGAAATTCCTGATGAGGTGCATTTTATCCTAGATTGAAGAGAAGATTGAATAAATGTCGCCGAAACCATCATAATCATCTAACACAATTTTATCATCATCAAATGACTTGAAGTTGGAAATACCAACCAACTCTCTTGAAAATTGTAACATGGAATTGCTGTATTCAAATTTCATCCGTAGATAAGTTGGAGGCTAATTTGCATCAATCATTTCTAGGAAATAAAAAGAGGAATTCTTTCGCAAATAATTCATTCAATCTCTTTTCATTGTTGTGGTCGGCGGTAAATTATCTGGGCTCTTTCTGGAAATCTTTTGGGTGAAAGAATATGTCGCAAATCATTAGTGCCCAAGTTGGCCAATGTGGGAATCAAATTGGAACTAAGGTTTGGTTGATTGAAATAGGTGGTTTTTATACCAGAAGTAAATCTGATCTTTACAGTTCTGGGAAATAATCTCGGGTGAGCACGGTATCGAGCCTAACGGCACTTATAATGGTGACTCGCCGTTGCAATTGGAGCATATCGATGTATATTTCAAAGAAGTGGAAGGTTTTTCTCTTTTTTACTTGAATTTACAAGCTCTTTTCTGTAGAGATCATCCAATACTTCAAACAAAGGATAAGTTAAAATAGCAAGATCAAGTATCAGTTTCACACCTGCCGTCATTGCACTATTAATCTTTGATTTATTGTAGCGAACATAGAGAAGAAGCAAGCACGATAGTTAACTTATTCAAATTATTACTCCATCACTTCAACAATCTATTTCATTTCATCTAATTTATGCAAAAAAAATCGAGTACTATCACCATGGCTTATAACAGAATTGTAAATGAAAAATTAGAAATTAAATCTCAGGCAAAAAATACGTACCACGTGCAGTATTGGTCGATCTGGAGCCAGCAACCATGAATTTGGTGCGTTTATCCACCTATGGAAACCTTTTCCAACCGGATAACTTTCTGTTCGGTAAAATTGGTGTCGGGAACAACTTTGCCAGAGGGTATTACACCGATGGAATGGATTTCATCGACGATGTTATGAATAATATTCGAAAGGAAGCGGAAATGTGCGATAGCTTAATGGTGTGAAAACAATTATTACTATATTTTCTTGAATTCTGATTCGAATAAATGAAGAAAAAAAAGCAACAGTAATCCTTATCGCTCCATAATATTACTTTAATAATGATGACGTATCATTTTCCGTATTTTTGACGTCTAAAGTAAATTATCTTATCCAATTTTGTATCTCATCATAGAAACGTAAAACTTATAAAATATTTTGTAACTACCTATTATTGTTTCAATGAATTAAGTGGCATAGTGAAAAATGCTTTTATAGGGTTTCCATCTGACTCATTCCTTGGGAGGTGGTACAGGTTCTGGACTGGGAGCGCTTATGATCATGAAGATACGTGAACAATATCCGAATCGCATGGTGACATCATTTTCCGTATTCCCGACGCCGAAAGTAAGTTGTTCAATTTCATATTTCTTCATGGTTTTTCTCTAAGTGTTAAAAGTAACGTTAAGCGAAATGGATCATAAAGAAGGGTTGAGTTTAAATTTGAACAGCTTTATTGAATATCTTAAACACACTCGATATCTTTGGATTTGATAATCAATCTGATGTTAAATTCTTCATACTAAAAGAAATGACAGGCATCGGATGTTATCGTGGAACCATACAACGCAACACTGGCTACACGTCATCTCATTGAAAATGTAGACGGGACATTTTGCATCGATAATACTGCACTTCGTGATATTTCATTGCATACGTTGAAACTTGCCAGTCCAGCTTATGATGATTTCAACCATATAGGTAGGTAATTTTGAAAATTTTGTCTTCACATCCGACAAAATCAAGCATGAGAAATCACACCATAAATGAGAAAATCTGCTAAAGATTTTATTTCAAGTCAAAACAAAACTTAACGATGTCATCCTATCATATTTTGAGCTTCGATGGCGATGTCCGGAGTGACCAGCTTCTTTCGATTTCCCGGACAATTGAATACTGACTTGCATGAACTAGCCGTTAACATGATTCCGCTCCCGAGCCTTCATTTTTTGATGTTTGGTTCGGCTCCGCTGATTGCTCGCAATACCGCTGCACCAACGCCACTCAAAATCAGTCAATTGATCCAACAGGTTATCTTTAGAAGGATTAGGTCAAAATTAGTAATATTATTACAGTAATTTTATTTTATAGTTTTCCAATTTACGCACTCTTTTAAAAATCGGGGTGCGCAATGCACAAATACCTGGGTTTAATAAGTCTCTTTCGTTTCAACACTGGTGCTTCAAAAATGTGAGGAAACCGCTTTTGTGTGAGTTAATCATTGATCATATTCGAATATCGCTTGAAAAACACACCAAATTCATCTGCATCAAATGAAATGGATAGATGAAATGATTATATAAAAATTTGATAACTTTACGAAAAAAGAAATCTCTGCAAAATTTTGAGATTTTTAGAAGTTTTTCAATTGATATCCGATTTAAAATGCTCAAGAATTCTATTGTAGTCATTTGACAAGCGTAACATTATAACCGCCTGTGATCCAAAAAATGGTCGTTATTTGACTGCTGCTGCAATGTTCCGTGGACAATTATCGGTGGATGTCAGTAAATAATTTATATAAAATTATTACAATAAATATAATCCAACCCACCACTAAAACATCACCAAACCTTATTTTCCAGGAGGTGGAAAGTCAAATTTCAACTATTCGAAAAACATTGACACCTGAATGGTTGCCAAATAACATCAAATTAGCTACCTGCGAAATCCCCACACGCGGAACCATCCTCAGTGCTGCTCCTCTCTTTAATAACACAGCAATTCAGGAGATATTAGCTAATATTCGACAGTCCTTCTCAGGTTGCTTTTTTTCTTCTTTTTTTTGAAGTGATCATACATGGTAAGTTGTAAATTTGTTTTATTTAGTTAACAAAAATTATTTCAGATGCAAAACAATGATTTTTTAGAACAAAATTTTAAATTCAGAAAAATATTTGAAATGTCTTTTTACAGCGATGTTTCGACGCAAAGCCTTTCTACATTGGTATACAGGCGAAGGAATGGAAGAACAGGAATTTAAGGATGCAAACAACATTTTGAAGGACACAATTACGGAATATCAAAAATATGAAGAAATGCAGGATGATAAGGCTGAAAATGTGGTGATCGGCGATAAGATACAAGCAGCTAATGATGGTACGGAACAGTAGAAACAGCAATGAATATCGATTTGTGATGCCAACATTAAAAGAGATTGATTTTATAGTGAAATGATTTCTTCCAATATTAAAATATATTAATATATTAAATGTTAAATTCCAATATTAAAAAAGAATAATTTTAGAGTGAAATAATTTCATCCCTATAATTCCATAGCCATTTGTCACAACCATCGAAATAACTGATTCATATATGATCTGAAATCTTGTAGCAAGAAATTTATTCTACGAAATTAATCAAATCAACACCGTCAATCGATATTGCCCCACAAACCAACACTACCATGACTTATTTCATATTTGATATTAATATAAGACTGATTGTAGTACCTTATCAAAGGGAATATATTTTTAAATCAGTGAATGATCGAAGGTTATTTCTAGTTCGGTGATTATTTTTGATCAACACAGAATGATTACCAATGATGTCTCCTTCTTAAAGTGTCAACAGACGTGAAAAGCTAAAAATTTCCAGAAACACCCTTTCTTTGATTTCGCATTTCAAGGGTTCAGTTAGGTTGAACAATTAAAAAGGATGTGACAAATAGTAAAATTGATTAGTTAATTCTCAATTGTTTCATGTTATTCCACCGTATTGTAGTTTCAAAAACTCTTGAATTGTAGTGAAAAAAATCACAGATTAACACAGTAACGGGATTTAAAGCTTAATAAGTAACGAACTAATACATTTGACTAACGGACGTCATAACATAACCACTCGAAATTAACGCAGATCTGTAAGGATATCAGTAAGATTTGTTGAGATGCAGAGGATGAGAAAAACAGTTTTCAGGAAAAAAAAACCGACCAGGGTGATAAGAACCAGTGACCACATTTGCAGCCCGTGAAAATACTGGTAGCTGGTTTGTGGATGACTGACCAATTTGTTCATATAATTTCAATGCTGTTTATCTCGCAATTCTCAAACGAATGCATCATTCCAGGGATATTTTAAACCAACTTTAAACATACGCTGATCTATCTGTTGAAGTTAGTTTCAACTTCTACACTAATTTGTGGTGTCAATAAATTTAAAAATTTTAATTTAAAATCTCGGCTATCCTGTTGTCTTTCGAGATCCTTTTGTACAACAGCCTATTCTTTTTCATTTCAGGTGAAATTTGTGCGAAACCAATTTGAATACCGCATTGTATCAAATTAGCACAGGTTATTGGAATGCTCATATTTTAGCTATGTTCTGCTCTATTAAATCCAATTTAATGAGATCTGATCTGCGAATTTTGTTGTTTGAAACAAATCATATTTAGCAACATCGACGAGAAGAAAGAAAT